CACATAAGAACTATATCTTTAACTGACTAACTAATATATATATATATATATATATATATATATATACACAACAGTTTGTTCTGGTTCTCAAATCTGATTGGTTGAGAACCGTGAGCTATTGTACTGGTATCGCTACAGGAAATAAAACATAATTTATTTTTAACCTTAGGCATACACGACTTTCTGGCGAAAGTGAATCTAGCAGCCTGTGTGAAATGCGCTAGGCTGTACTATTCTGCATCAGTACAAATACGTGCACGTGTTGCGCGTGTTTTGCTTGCTTGAGTGTTTCTGCATTATATGAGTGGCTTTGGAATATAAATCGCAGTAGGTTTCAGATGAAAAAAAAAACGCGGCTTCTATTTCTGAAAATATCACAGTTAGGAGATTTATAAGAGTGGTTCCCTTCATTATTACAGCAAAGCACGTGATTACAGTACTAAGCCGCTGCAATGGAGCAGCTCTAATGGTATTAAATTAAAGATGATGTACCATAGAGCAAAAAAAAAGAACAGTGAAGAGCAAAAAAATGAACAGTGAAAGTAACAAAAACTTGTAAAATACATTTTAATGGGCATACTTAAGTGTGAAAATAACCAAAGGACATAGAGTCAAACCAAAAATTATTCAGAGACCAGATATAATTTTTGATATTTTTTTACTAGTGGGTGCAGGACACTATAGTTCATTTATAGTGAGGATAGCAAAATAAAGTAAACTGTGACAAATTATACCCAACATTTCTTCATACAGTGGACTATCAGTAAAACAAATTTGGGACCAAAACTTATTCAGACCGAGTCTGGGGGAAAAAAAAACTGAAGTTCAGGTTTGCATGAAGTTGGGTGACAGCATGCCCAGGAGATATGCTGTCATTAAGGCTAAGGCTTGCCCGACTAAGTATTGATAGTTGTGTAAATACTGTCATACTAACAGCTGTCTAATTTTTGGTTGATTGTAATCCATTAGGCTACATACCTTTCTATCAAAAAGTTATCTAACATTATCAAGCTGAATTTGTTCTGACACAGTTTAACTCTGAGTTCTTGTTATATTTTATTACCATTTTCTAAACTATAGAGAATAAATATAGTGATAATGTGAGAAATGTTGAAGGTGTCTGAATAAATTTTGGTTTGACTATCTATTTGATAAATGATGTTAACCAACTAACATTATACATACTCTTTTGGTTTCTGTACCCAATATTTAAAAAATTTACAAATGCAATAAAATATTGGTATCGGTACTCTGTATCGACAAGTACCAAAAATAAAAGTATCGGTATCGGGCGAGTACTGGAAAAAGTGGTATCAGTGCATCCCTACTAATAACCTAACTGAAACAGCACATGCCCTTGATACGAATTCTAAAAGCGACGTATGTTTAACTGTCAACTTGAGCTTTGAATCCGTGGCGGAAGGAAGTAGTTCCGCACAAAAGAGGGTTTTATTAGGCACTCCGTTGTTTCTTGTTTAATGACACACGTTGCGTCGAACTGTTGTATAAACGCAATATCACTCTCGTACTCGAGCGATACCGGCTATATATCAGTGGCTGTGATTGCCTCCGGCACTCGGCCTCGTGCCTCTGGCCTAATCACAGCCATGCTGATATAGAGCCAGTTAAATATTATTTAGTATCTTTTACCATTTAGTAATTTTATTATTTAGTAAAATGTATATTATTTAGTAATATAATTATTTAGTAATAAAATTGTTAAGATATTGGTAAAAAATTTATAAGATATTGATAAAACTGTCATACGATTTTGGTCATACTGGCAACTAAAACTGTAAAATGATCTTGAAAAATGGGCCCTCGTATCTGTTTTCACAACTCAACAGTTGTGATGTGTGTGGTTTCAGAGAGACTCGCGCTAAGATTAGAGCGCTCCCACACAAGAGCACTGAAATCACAGTTGTTTACAGTGGGATTACAGCTGAGGAGTCACAATTTGTTAATCCACAGCTGTAAAACTGGTCACCACCCCACCTGTGCAGCCTTACTCCCCACCCCCACTCTCCCAAAGTCATCTCCTGCAGGTGTGTGTGTGTTAAGGAACAATAGGGAGCTCGAGGTCCATTCAATCCCGGCCAGTGAAGAGACCTCCATGCTTTAAAGGTTAAATCAGTTACTCAAGCCTGACCGAGGCTGAACACAAGACAACTGGCGTGGGCTTAGTGGACACAATGTGACCAGCTGTTGTGACTGACTTTATTCACACACCCACATGAAAAGTGCTGAAGCTGCTTCATGGTGAAGTTTCAGGAGAGGTAGATGTTATGGCGCTCTCTGAAAGAGGGTTGACAGGTTCAGCAGAGATAAGAGGAAATGCAGGGGGTCCGTGCACTCTTGTGGTTTGCATTTATAGTATTTTTAAGAGATTAATCTTTTAAACTCAGTGTCACACATTCATGTAGGACAAATAAACTAAAGCATACATTGGGAAAACAGCACATCTCATTAACTTCCATATGGTCAAACAGCAAGAAATGGTTAGAAAAGAGCAGGGAGTGTTGTACCAATTAAAAATGAGCTACGGGGTGAACTATCATACGTGACCAGCACCCTTCTGAGGTCACAGTAGAAGTTGTAAGTCTAATTAATTTGATATACAGTACATCCACACAAGCCTTTTTTTTTCATTGTGGAGATTTTCCTTTGATATTGACTTGGTTTTATACTAAGCAAATTTTATTTTTTCTCACTGACCCCTAAACCTAACCCTCACAAAACTGCTTTCTTGCTTTTTAATTAAGACGTTATTTAGTTTGTTTATTAAGCTGTTTTCCTCACGGGGAACGTTGGCTGCTTCGCACGATGTAGGTGATTTCAGGTTTTACTGTCCTTGTGAGGACAAGCGGTTCTCACAATCTAGACAAAAGCTCAGCACAAACATACACTCAAGCCATGTTTTTGTTTTTAGCTGATGTTTTAGTTGTTAGCTTATGTTTTATGCATTTGTTCTATCGTTCATTTTTTTGCTTGCTGGTTTTGAATTAAAATATTTTAATTGCTTAAATGTTTTAAATGTTTGTTTACCGTTGTAAATTAAACATGTTTAAAATAAAATGGGTGGATTGAGGTTATGGCATAACAATTGTTTTGAAAGAAAATTTAATTTGATGTACAACAGATGTACATAATTTAAACTTATGTTTTCTGTTAGTCTTACAGCCCACTCAAATATAAGAAGTTATGAGACATCACAAAAATAAATAAAAATGTTATCTCCCCCTACTTCATGTTTTGCACTCAACATTTGCCTCAGTAGCATTTTGCCTCAACACGCTTCCACAGAACAAAACAAGATACTTGTGCAATCTCTTCGTTCTAACGACTCATTCACTCAGTTCATTAATTCTTCTGACGGTTGCCACTCACATAAAAACGTATTTCTTTTTATTTGCTACGTGCGTGGACTATTTATCACAGTGCATCTCAGATGTTACTCAACAGTTGATCTATGACCGATTCAGCCCAGATGAACAGCATAAAGCATCTTCAAACTAAACCTTCTCCACTCGGAACCGGACCTGAACCCCCTCTCAGTCTGAACAGAGCATGTGAATCAAAGCGTTCAAGCTGGAGCTGTGACCAATCTCTTGAGTTGCAGTAAATGCATAAAGACAACAGAGGAGTGTTGGGTCAGTAATGGCTTCTGCTGGGAAATTGATTGTGTTAATGCATGACCGTGGGCTCCAAAACCCACTTTACACAACAACAGCAACACTATTTCTCTCCCTCCCCCTCCCTCGGACCATATTCTGTATAGATATTATTATTGTTTTGTTCCTCAAGAGATCGTATCAGTTTGAATTGTGATGATGCAACTCCCAGGCAAAGGTAAGATGAATTTAAGGCTCTAAATCTTTCTCGTTGTAGCCTACTACTATGCGAACTTGGCTCCCTCATCATTACGGGACAGGTGGGGTCTGAAGTGCATTATGGTTGGATATATATCTGTATAACTGGCATTGATTTTCAGGGGCATTTATGACCTTTAGGTGGGCTATTTTTCATTTTATTATTATTATTTTTCTAATTTAAAACACAATCATGCCGCCCAATGCCAAATAGGCTATTTCAAATGAATTGAAAAAGTGACACTAAAGTGTATGAACACAAGTATTTATATTATTTACCTTTCAGTTGTTAGGTACAAACATGGGAATTCACAGCATGTTGCCCCCATATTATGAATATCTGTGGCATTTTAGCCTAAGTCGGGTTAATTTCTGACCCTTGTGCCATCTATCCCGTTTATTATATGCAAGAATAGAAACGATACATTTGAGGAATCAAACGCTTGAATCAGCTTCTGTTTCAGCTTTGTGTGTTTTCTCACACTGAGTTGTTTAAATCCCGTTTTTGTAGGCTAATTTATATATTATGATATCAAAAACAAACATAATACAAACACTATATTTAAAAAGAAATATATTTTCCCTTTAATCGAATAAACGCACTGTATCAACAGGATGTGTGGCACTGTTTTTCTCATTAATAATGCCAAATACAATCAGTTACTTAAGCGCTTCCAGCCTTCTTGAATAAATGCAGAAGAAAAAAAAGTTGTGGTACAGCAATCTACTCCATTTACTCCAAAATATGTGTGACAACAAAGTGTGAGAAGGACAACAGAAATCCTACCTGAACGTTCTCCAAACGAGCATGTAGACTATGACACCCTCCGCGTTATATTCCAAAGTGGTTTACGCTGTTAAATCCAGTGAAGATCAGAAAGCATGTGTGCAGCTCGGTCCACAAAGCCAAGAGATCCTCATGTGTTTGTTTTATCCGAACCACGCCAACCAATTCCTGGAGCCCGTGGGGCTCGTCCAGCTCGTCCTCGGGATAAAGCTTTGTGATCTTCAAAAGCTCACCGATCAAATGGCACCAAGACCCTCCCTCTCCTCTAGTACCACCCCCCCGTCATTCACCAAACCATACCAATACAACCCAAACCAAATAGCTTAAAGCCAACTAAGTAATTATCTCGAGATGAAGAACTTTAAGCGCGTGCGTCACTCCGCTTATAAACAATCCGAATCGATGTGAACGGGTAACAGTGTGAATAAAAATAGCTCCAGTTCTTTTTTTTCTTTTTTTGCGCTGCAGAAATAGAACTAGAGTACTTCTGGTGTTTTGGAAATCTTTTTCTTTTCGTTTCTTTTTTTTTTTACCGGCTCAAACGTTCGTAACGCTGCATTTTCTCATCTGAATCCGTGATTCTCTTTACGCGATTTGGATCGCAACAACTCTGAGTCAAGCTTGAAGTGTCTCTCTGCGTTCCGAGCGGGGAAAACAAACTAATGCACGGCAAATGGTGTAACTCGATCCATCCCGAGTCCTTCCATCAGCAGAGCCAACCACAGCCTATAGCCTAGAAACTGATCCCTCCCCATTCCCTCTCTCTATCCCTCTCTCTTTCTCTCTCTACTCCCTCTATCCACTCCAGCGCTAGTAGATGTGATTTTTGGCTGCTTTCCCTTGCTCGGCTGTTTTTTCTTTCTCCTGCCAGAGTGTGAGACCTTTATTGTCTGCATGTGTGTATGTATATATTTGTACATATAAAGATATGTATATAATATTATTAATGCTTTTGCAACACTTTTTAATGCACCAATAAAGCATTTTGGATCTCTTGTGTGTAGAGGCCCTCACATCTTGGTGATCCTGAGGGGCCCCCCTCTTTTCCCAATCCCTTCCCCCAGCAGTAAGCTGCTTGTTAAATCTTTTCCACAGAACTGTTTTGGGAAGGGAGGACAACGAACCACACTCCTTAGAACTGTTCTTTGGAAGGAAATCTTAACTTTTCAGCTCCAGGCGAAAAGGGGAAGGCGCAAAGAGAATTTATTTTGACACCGTGCTCCCATGCATTTTCACCATCAACCTTTCAGAACCATTTTCAATAATGAAAGCCGTGCATAGAAAACATTCTCTTAATTTGTACATGAAATGCAGCTGTGATCAAAGTTTATTGTTCGCATATGTGGCAGAAATAAAATTCAAGCTTGCGCGGTTTGTGGTATATTTCGAAATTGTCCGGTGATCACTTAAATATTAACATAAGCTGCTGTATAAATTAGTTACAGATTCACTTTGCACTGTATTGTGTACGAGTGTGAACATTAACACACACGAGCTGATAGTCAAACAAAGAATGTGGCAGAGTGTTGGAGGATTTGGCAGTTGTGCAGGACACTGCAGTCAACAGCATTTAGTATTGCAGTTCTTATAAGTGCATAAATGTTGCTGTGAAATGCACATAAGCATCTAAAAGTCAATATTATCTCTGCTCTCAGCAGTTGCAAAATCCCTCTTCACTGCAATTGGAGTAGATAATGATTAGAACATTAAATGCAAATATAACTGTGGAGAATGCCAACACATCCTGCAGGTAACAGGACAGACACACATGCGTACAGGTAATAGTTTTAAAATGTGTTCCACTAACCTAGTTAATAAACTCAGTAGCACAGGTGAAGACGTGACAGGGAAATAGAGCGGGTAGAGGAAATTGAAAAGTGAAAGTTTCCTAAGACGTCCCAAAGGATTTTTTGTTATTCAGAGGTTGTTCTTTCATAAGCTCATGAGACATAATCAGGATCTCAGTTATGCTTTGTTAAAGTTTCAACTTTATCTAAAATGTTTCTACCAAAATTTCTTAAAGGGGTCATATGATGTTGCTAAATAGAACATTATTTTGTGTATTTGGTGTAATGAAATGTGTTTATGCAGTTTAAGGTTCAAAAAACATTATTTTCCACATACTGTACATTATTGTTTCTCCTCTATGCTCTCCTCTTTCTGAAACGCATTGATTTTTATAAAGCTCATCGGTCTGAAACGCGAGGTGTGCTCTGATTGGCCAGCTATCCAGTGCGTAGTGATTGGCCGAATACCTCAAGCGTGTGACGGAAATGTTACGACCCTTACCATACTGTGATGCCCTTTCCGGTCGGAGCGACGAGACAAAAACATTAAAACCCATTATAAACGAGGCATTTGTTGCATCCAGTGGGGACATAATTACGGATTATAATGACTTATACTGTCTTTTTACGCGTTGCGTATCGCGCCGCGTATACATAAAACCATGTCTGCATTTGTGATCGGAGAAATGACAAACAACAAGCAAATAATTAATATATACTGTACATCCAACATAAAAACAACCAAAAAAAATTGCTTTTTAAAATGTATTTATTTTATTTCCTTAAGCTGTAATAGCCAGATAAAATGCATGCAGAGGCTTAATAAAGTCTTCCTTGGGGGTCCAGAGGTTGCAACACCTGACCCTTCCCCAATACATTTTTACAATTACATGCATGCATAACACTCACACACACACCTCTCCATTATCACCCCCAGTACTATTCGTTAACATTTGAATGATCAGCAGGAAGGCAGAACGACTTCTAAACTACTTGCTACTGGTCTGCCGTTGTCTACTGTATGTGTGAGATTGACGGCAGAGGGGCAAAGGTGGGCACTCCCAGCCTCTTGAGAGCTTTGCAGGGGGTGTAGGGTGAAGGGTTAGCCAGCAGACCTCTGCAGCCCATTTAGTCTCACTGCTCAGCCTGATTTAGTACCGTCCAGCCCCCACAGATGGCACAGAGAGACACACACAGAGAGTCAAGGCTGTGGAAGTTGTGTGACAAATGGAGCCCAGACCAGCATCATGCCACAGACACGCTCTTAATCAGGCAGTGTGTGAGAGTGTGAGTGTGTGTGTGTGTGTGTGTGTGTGTGTGGGTCTGGAGCCTTCGAGTCCGACTGCTTGACACCCAGACTGCATAACTTGCTCTGTCATAATGTCATGCTGATTTCTGTGCGATACTGTTTAGTATTATTTATTTGAACAGTTTCATATTTCCAAGGTAAATGTCCATCAGTACACAAATTAAATACTCCAGATAAATTTGATTTTGAATAAATATTGGTATAATTCTTTGGCAGAAAGGGCAGTTTTGTTTATGCCTAATCGTGAAAACCTGTACTCCACACTCAATTCCATCATGGGAAATATTTTTTTGTCACGACCTGTTAGTGAAATTGCGTGCATAGAGGGTGTGTTATTTGTGTTGAACAGTATGATTCAGCGATTTAATGTTCATCGTTCTGAGAGAGTGAGAGACTTAACCAGGCTCGGACAAGCCCGACCCCTCCTGCTTCTGATACCAACTGCTCTGGCATGTAAACCTTCAAAACACTTCACACAGCTGAACACAATAAACGATCCATAATTACACTCCTCTGCAGACGACGAGTCCTCCATTATTTCATTCTTTGGATAGTCACTTCCTAGAGAGTATTTAGAGAGCAGATGTGATAAAGTATAAATTCATAATTAATTTAAACAGTTTTTGTCTGTGCCATATTTTTGTCTATTTCCTACATTACTGTAAAAAAGATAGATAGATAGATAGATAGATAGATAGATAGATAGATAGATAGACAGTTGAATGGACAGACAGACAGACAGACAGACAGACAGAGACAGATAGATAGATAGACAGATAGATAGTTAGATAGACAGACACACAGACAGACAAACAGACAGATAGTGAAATATCTGTCTCAGTGGGAGGTCCAATGTTGGCAGCAGTTTTAATCTTACAACATGAATATTGGCCAATAAAAATAAGGATGAGTGTTTTTGTTCTGATTACACATTGATGTAAAGTGTCATGATTCTGGGTCAATGGGCTGTAACTACGGTCAACCATCCTCTGAAAGTGTGATGTCCCTGAAGTCACAGCCCTGCACACATCCTCCGAACAGTCAGACCCCCTTAAACATTAAACAGTCCTGTTTGTTTCTTCAGTTTCTACTCCATCTACTAACACCATTCTCCTCAGAACTTGTGTTTATATCCCAACAGGAAGCTGCAGATAGGATGTGTATATGGTTTAAGACTATGGCACAAGAACGGGAGATTTTTGTTGACACTTACATTAATTATGAATGTACTGAGCTATCACCGTGGCTCAGATAGACATAATCATATTCATAGTTGCTGCCGTAGGTAATTTCCAGAGGGATATGTCAACGTCCGTGCGAACCAACAGATTGAAGACAGGAAATGACATTCGCTCTCATTATTTATTGACTCATTGCCATGAAATTTATATGCAAAATAATTTTCATTTTTTAGAGATTCTAGGATCTCATTCTCCTGGAAAATTTAATATATTCTCTCTCAGTCTGGTTGTCTGACTCAGGTGACATTTTCCCGCTCACCTTAGCTGCTCTTATCTGGTTCTGATAATAGCCGTCTGTGCTGGGGATGTTCTGCTCAGTGCTCATAACCTGTTGTTTGCTGAAGGACGTGTGTCTGTTGTTTCTTCAGATCAGAGACTGAAACTAATTAGACATTAAGCTATTAATCCACATCAGTACACCGTTCCTGACTGACATTCATAATGTCGCTCTTATTCACATCAGAATCAGATCTTCTTCTCTTGTCAAGTCAAAAAGGAGTTTTTTTATTTAAAAATATCTTCTTTTTTTTTTTTTTTAAATACTGGATCAACAGTAGACCTCTTTGATTTAATTGAATACAAAAATGGTTAAAAATATAACCATCTGCATACAACAGATCAATAACCTATTCAATAGTGTCCTATTCAATAACCAAACGTACACCAGTTTAAGTAGACAAAAATATCAGTGTTTAAAATTATTCATTGTCCTTCTTTTCAATACAAACACTCCCCCTTTCTATGCAAATTTGATTTATCTTCATATAATAAATAAATAACATAATAAATAATTTCAATAAATAAATTAAAAAACAGTGAAGAAATATATTTTTAAATATAAATATATTTAGTTTCAACCTTAAAATCTTCAAAATATATTTCAGCGGCAGGACAATGCATTTTCAATCGTACAGTAGCTTAGGCTAAATGAAAATGTGGATGGAATAGCTCACTAGAGATCAAAACTAGATTTATAATGATTTAATAATATTACATTTTTTAATACATTGTAATATTGTAATTAAAGAAAAGAAGTTCACCCAATAATCAAAATTATATCATAATTTACTCACTCTCATGTAATACCAAACCTTTATGAATTTTTTTCTTCTGTGAAACAAAACAAAAGATATATATTTTTTAAAAATGTAACCAACCAGTTTTGGTGTCCAGTGACTTCCAATGTAAGGGCAAAACCACTGAAACATTTCTCAAAATATCTTTACTGTTCCATAGAAGAAAGAAATTCATACAGGTTTGGAATGACATGAGGGTGAATAAATAATGACATCTTTTTCATTTTTAGGTTAACTATCTCTTTAAGAGGTGTTGACTTCATACATTGGCAAAAATAACAGCCAGGCCAATTCATTGCAAAAACAGCTCAGAAAATTACAATG